TTCGCGAGAGATTATTAATTTATTTTCGATTATATTATAAATACTTTATTCTTAATATTAATCTTAAACTTTTTAATTAGAGAGTTAAATTATTTAAAATATTAGAGAAAATTAAAAATCTTATCTATCGATTAAATTTTTCGAATATTATATATATTTATTCTATAATATTTATAATTTAATTAAAATCTACTTTAAATTAATTTAAAGATTTTTATTATAGAAAATAATATTTATTATAACTAGTAAAAAAAGAAGAGAAAGAGATAAATTTAGAATTTTTTATTAGATTTCTATTATTTAAAATCGATAAGCTAAGTAATAGATAGAGAATTAAAAAGAATATTAAGTATTTAATATATTAAAAGAATAGTAGTAAGAAGTATAATATTTAATATCTAGTATATATTCTTTTAAAAGCACAAAATCTTATAGTAGAATATAATATACGCATTTTTATTAATCTTATAAGAAATTAAAAAAAGAAGTAATTTATTATAAAAGTATTAATTAAGAAAGTATTTACTCTACTAGCTTTTAGAAAGAAAGCTACTATTAGAAAGTTAAGCCGTTCGCGAAAAAAAATACTTATCTCTTAAGAAAAGCCTTCGCTATTAACGAGAAATCCGTTTTTACTTATATTACTATCTACCTCGCTATTAAATTCTTTCGCTACTCATTATAATATATAATTTCTTATTTAGTAAAATATCTTTTAAGAAAAGCTATTCTTACAAAAAAGGATTTCTTCTATAGAAGTAAAATCTTATTATAAAAAAAAAGAAAGTCCGTACTTTACTTAAAGAAATAAGTTTCTTTATATAACTTTCTCTATAAAAGTAAGATTATTCTTATTTAAAGAAAGAAGTTTCTTTACTTATAGCGAGAACGTTATCTTTCTTTCTTTCTATCAATATATATTATAAATTATATTTAAAATAAAAGCTAATAACTTAGTATAGCTTAATATATTAAATATATTTAAATAACTAGATCTTATAGAAGAAGAATCATCTTTTTATCACTTAAGAAACGTCTTTCTTAGAAAACGTTTTTCTTAGAAATAAGATTTCTAAGAATTTTACGTTATCTTAATAATTATATTATTAATTTCTCTCTTACTCTCTAATATATATTAAAAAAATCTTAAAATTATATTAAAATACTTATTATATCTATAGATTAATTTAAATATACTATTATAGAATAATATTAACTAGATTTTATAAATTAATATTTATTAAATATAATAATTATTTAACTTATTATCTTAATTAATTAATTTATATATATAAAATATTTATTAATAATTTAGAAATATAAGTAAAGTTATATAATCTCTTATATTTTTTATATTATTCTTTTAATTATTATAAGATAAGTTTAAGTTTAAAAATTAGATTTATAATCTATTTTTTTAATTAAAGCTATCGAGTAAATTTAATAAATAAACTTTAATAAGCGATATTTAAATTTTTTATCTTTAAATAATTATAAATTAGATTTTAAGATTCTAAAATTATTAAAATACGTAATTTATACTTTATAATTTAAAAAAAAATCTAAAATTTTAATAGAAAATAAAAAAGTTATTTTAAATCTAAATAGAATATATTAATATTTTTTATTTAGAGCTATCGAGTAGATTTAATAAGCGAGCTTTAATAAGCGAGCTTTAATAAGCGATATTTAAATTCTATATCTTTAAAAAATTATAAGATTTAATTTTATACCTTTTTATTATTAAAAAGCGAAAATTACGATTTATAATTTTTAAAAAAATAATAGAAAATAATAAAGTTATTAAATAATTAAAAGTAGAAAAAGAGATTTTAATAATTACGAATATTAATTTAATAATTTATAATATCTAATTAAAAAGCGTAGTAAACTCGAATTTATAATTAGCTATATATTTAAATTTAAATTTTTTTAACTTAACTCTATTTTAATCTATTATTAATATTCTTTTAAAAAAATATAAATAGATTTTTTTAAGTTTTAATATTTTAATAGAAAATTAATTTTATATTTAATATATTTATTAAAAATACTTTAAAAATATTTTTATATATTTTTATAAATATAATAGTTTAATTAGTATATATAATAGAATAAGATAGAGCTAAGCTTGAAAATCTTGAATTTATATATATAGCTAATTATAAATTTAGAATTACTACGCTCTTTAATTAGATCGACTAAGTTATCGCGGGTAAATAAATTAGTATCCGCAATTATTAAAATCTCTTACCCCCTCGACTCTACTTTTAACCCTTTAATAACTTTACTATTTTCTATTAAAATTTCGAAATTCTTTTTTTAAATTGTAGGGCGTAGATTACGCTTCTAAATGCTATTATAGTTTTAAAATTTGATCTTATAATTATTAAAAAGCAAGGCACTCAAATATCGCTTATCAAAGATCGCTCCCCAAAGATCGCTCACCAAATTTACTCGATAGGCCTGATCAAAAAAAAAAGAATTTAATTCATATGCCTTTACTCGTTATTAAGGGCCCCTTCGGTAACCACATATTTTCAAAATATGCCCACATATTTTCAACTTTGGTTTTTAAACAGGGGTAAGATACTATGTCAAGAGTACTAGTACACCCCGTAATCGCTCGTAACACTTTCCTCGAGAATCTCTTCAAGGACCGTTGAACCCCATAAAAGACAGTAGCATCACCACCGATTAATACTATTCGAAAGAGTACAATTAATAGAAATAAGTCTTCTTATTCACTTAGACGAAAAGCGCAAAATTTAAATCGCTATTACGTTAAGATTTCTAATTTTTATAGATTATCTATTCAGATATCGTCTTTTTCAAACTTAAATTATAAGTTAATTCATAATTTGAATATTTTCAAATATTTGACCCTTAGGGCTGAAATCTCAATTATCGAATTTTGGTCTTGGCGCCAAGCTTGCATAATATTTCCATGCACGTATTGAATGATAATTGACTAACGAAAAGTCAAATGTCATATTTTGAAAATATGTGGTTACCGAAGGGGCCCTAAATAATAATATATCGAAGTTATAGATTATTAAGTTTTTTTTTTAAAAATAGCTTCGAGATAGCTTCGGGGGTAATTCACTTCGGGTTTAAGCTACCCGAAATTTATTAATGCTGATATATACCTAGGGGTAAATATCTCATATCAGCCAAACCATCAAAAAAACGAGGCTTGGCAGGGTTTCCTACTGCGTGGGGCCTTTCTGAGACTAGAAGCTTCAGTCATGATACGCAAACATTGCCTCTGTCGCTGTCATTGGTCTAGGGAACAACTCCATGCTTTATCGATTGCTGCTTAGCCCGCCGACGTATTCATGTTCTTCCCCCATCAGGAGCGTTCGGCTGGCAGCTGCCCATGTTAATTCTTGCAACCCGTTGAATTCGTCCTTGTTTAAATCAAGTCTCGCAGCAATGTCTACATTTACTCTCCCTAACAGCAAGCCACAGATTGCAGTTCATCTGACGTCAGACCTCTCGCAGGAGCAGCTGCTTTCATTTCCAGCTTTCAAAACATGGATTTCTACACTGCAGCATTCCCTTTCCACGCAGCAGAACAAGTCTCACACCTTCCACTCTGCTCCGTACAAGCTCCGCACCATCGAAATCCAGTCTGTGGACTTCTTTGGCGGTAAACGCATCGGCTTTGTCAAGTTGAAAGCAGAAGTATCAAACGACAAGGGTGAGAAGCTACCCGGTTCCGTCTTCGTACGTTTTTCGGAGTCCCTGTTTCCTCCTTTGAAAAGATTCTCGAGTCTTGAGACATGTCTTGGGAGTATTCACCCTCGAAACATGTTCCAAGGTTCAAATTACTCTTCAGATAGGCAATGATCACTGAGAAATTGTAATCCAGTTACGAGGCGGCAGCGTCGGCATGTTTCTAATCCTACAACCTGATGACGTCCCCTTCAAGTCGGAAGATGAGAAACATGTGATCCTCACCATGCAACCGCGTATCCCTGCCGGCTCGCTATCCCTTGCCGAACTCCCGGCTGGAATGCTCGACGATGCTGGTACATTCGCCGGTGGGGCCGCCAAAGAGATTGAAGAAGAGACGGGATTGGAGGTTCCAGCAAATGAGCTCACAAACATGACCGAACTCGCCTTGTCCAGTGCCACATCTGATGATGAGGAACATTTACAGCAGGGCGTTTATCCGTCGCCAGGGGGTTGTGATGAATTTGTGCCGATTTTCTTGTGGCAAAAGCGAATACCAAGAGAACAAATGAATGAGTGGCAGGGAAAGCTAACGGGCCTAAGAGATCATGGGGAGAAGATTACCTTAATGCTTTGTCCGTTGGAGAAAGTGTGGAGGCATGGGGGAAGGGACGCGAAGGTTTTGGCTGCGTGGGCGCTCTATGAGGGACTGAGGGAGGAGGGGAAGCTGTGATTTAAGAAGTGCACATATCACGCCCAAAGATCCATGACACCGAGACGTCAAGCTCGATGGAAGACAAGCCCTGGAGCATGTCAATTTTAGTGGTCCGATGTCGAGAACGGTGGCCCGTCCCAGTATCCACTGTAATTGGAAGAGAAGACCAGAACAAATTATGATTTAAAGCTTGCTGTCGAGAGGCGAGACTGCGCTGGCTTGCTCGTACTTTACCGTTGTGATCGAGCGTCGCCGCATAGACCTTGAAAGTGCTTCCTAGAGACAAGCAGAAGTCAAAGGCCTGCTCATGTGGATTTGGACGCCTAGGTATGCTGCCATGCAGATATCAAACAGCCTCGTAAACATCGTCCATCCCTTATGGTTTCAGTGCTTGCCTTCTCACGCAGATCACGAAGATACGCCAAACTCCTTCTATTCCTGCGTAGCCAATAGTATGACATACAGAGAAGCCACCCATAGATGAACGACATGCTAAGGTGATCGAGGTAATGGAACGCCAGACACCCTCGGGCCACAATGCTCGCGAAGGGCAAGAGTAGGCTAGGGATCGGTGCCAATTGAAAGGGCCTTTTCGATAGAACGGGCGTTATTGTGGTGGTTTGGACCAAAAGTCCAAGCTTGCGACGACGTCTTCGCCGCCTTCATCTTCATAAGCGTACAGGATCTGGGTCACACCATTAGTTCGTTCCATTTGCGAGCAATCAAGTAGATGGAGACTTGCCTCTCGTGTCGAAGAGTGTAACATGCGGATGTTTTTGGCCGTGATGATATGCACCAATTGGCTAGTCTCTAACTGGCGTATCTCGATGAAGTTTGGCTCAAACGCAAGGAGGTAAGGATGCGAGAGGGCAAAGGTGTGAGGCCGACCTTCCCAGTTTATCACCCAATCAGGTCGAGCCCGCCAACCATTTCGATTGACAAAGAAAGAGAAGTCAGTGTAGTGGAGAAGAAATTCGCCATTGAGCCGTTCGATAGAGATAGGGATGATATCTTTACGAGTGACGAAATCGAGAGAGGTATCTGCGTGATCGAGAAGCGGTTGCGTCTCAAGGGTCTCGAGGCTCACTACCTCGAAGCCTCGAGAACATGCGACACATAGCTTGGATCTTAGAAAGTCTATCGACGATGATTCTGCGGGTACATAGAATTCCTGAAGGGTTCAGTACGAGGCTCCACAAAGCAGTGATTAATACATACCTTGAACGGCTTGAGTGTGTCTTGGCCACCTTGAAACATCCTACCAATGGCTGGCTTCTTTTTGCCTTTTGAAATTGTGTCCATCGGCTCGAACACCTTGATGGTGGTGGAAATCCCCGACATTTTGGCCGAACACACAAGATGTCTCCCCATACAAACCCCTGCTTTGAAGAAGTTGGCATGGTTCTGGATCTTCTTTGGTCTCTTCAACATTGGCGACACATTGTCAGGAGAGTCCAGGACCTCCAAAGGGTATGACATTAGACTCTTGGTGGCAAGTACAAGTAGAAGTTGGTATTCCTCTAAGACATCGATTTGAGTGACCGAAGAAATGTCGAGCACGCGTCTCGGTCTCGCGGCGGGCGATTTGGGCTTTCGGTCTGATACATAGACACCGGAGTCCGTTCCGAAAACAAGCTTGCGACCACCATCTACTGGGGATTAGCTGATATCTCAAAAATGTCACCGAGAACTTACCGATTGGCACAAGGCAATTTACTTTATGAGCATTGGTAAAAAAGTTGTCGCAAAGCACTGCCTTGGTATAGAAGTTACCACGATCTCGAAGTTTAGCCTGCTGCGTTTCGATGTTCTCCATCCATTTCCGTCTTGCAATTGTTGAGCCGGCGTAAAGAGTCAGCTCGAATCCACCTTTACCGATATGTCGAAACGTCATGGGAAAGCCTTCTTTGGCGCCGCCAGCAGCTTTTGGGCCGTTGATCGCTGCCTTTGCCCCTGGTATTAAACTTGACGATGGCCTTTTTGAGATGCCTAACTTGGGAATGACCTCATCCATTTGGGTGATGATCAACAGCTCAAGCGGGATGGGTTTCTTGTACACTCGAAGCTCTTCCTGTCTGTTGTTTGTTTTCTGTCTTACAAAAAGCAGAGCGTGGTTGAACAGGTACACATGGACTTCGCTCGAGTCCGTCGGACTCTTCTTCAGAGGGCCCTTGTAGACCAGCTCACGACCCTCCTCCAGAAGTTTTAGATGATCACCTTGTCCGCCTGAGGTCCATTTCAAAGCCGACTGTAGCTGCCGCAGGTTGAATTGGTTTTCGGCTTTGCCAGACTCCGTGTTTACTTTTTGCAGCAAATCTTTTATCATTGCAGTAGCTTTAGGGATGTCCTTGATATCTGGATTATCTTCCGCAGTGTATTTCAAAACGTTTTCGAGAAGTAAAGGGTACCGTGCCAATCTCGTGGTTGGTTTGGTCAAGTAACCATTCAATTCAAGCTTTCTTGACTCTTTGAGGCGCTCTGTCTCATCAACGAATTTCGAAAACACGGGGTTCCTTGTGCGCTCCAGCTCGAACTCATGTTTGCCCCAGAGCTGATTGGCTCCATACTTGATGAATGGACCAAACTTTGGTACCCATTCTAGGAAAATGTCACCTACATTCCGTACGACTGGATTCTCTTGCTGTCTTCTCGTCAGAGACTCAGCCATCCGGGAATTTACCTGGTGCACTTCCATACAATTGGAGAACACCGTTCGAATAAATCTTTCCCGATGTCGTTCAGGAATTGGAGATGGGCTCAAAGTGTTCGCAGAGCGCAAAGGCTTCATCCAGAAATCTCGTAAGTATTCAAGATCTTTCACAAAGTCGCGCTCGGTATACATTATCTCCGATATTACTTCTTGCCGCTTCTTCTCTTTTTCTCCCACGCTGTCAGCAACCTCTTTTGTGACCGTGTTAATCCAGAGCTTTTGCTCATCAGTCTCCTCGCCATGTATGCTTGTTGATGACTGCTGACGCCTCAATCCTGGCTGTGGCTTCAGATTCAATCGTGCCTGTTGCTCCAACCGTCGGGGACATGCTATAGAATAGCAAAGTCTGTCTCTTGTGCAGGTGGGCGAATAGCATTCAGTAAGAAGAGTGAATACACCATTGACGTGTGTTGACGTATCCTCCATGAGTGATTCCCGGAATTGAAATATCTCCGTCGAAGAATCCCTGAGCCGGTGGTCATAAGTAACATCATGAAAAAATTTCTGCGCGTCCAGAGCTCGGCCCAGAAGTAGAGCAAGATTTCGATCAGTAGTCTTGATTATGTACGATATTAGATCCACAGCTTCTGCACCAGTGAAGGCGAATTTGTAGGACAGATCGTTCTTGTTGCGATCCCCAGCCGATATTCGTTCTCGGAAAACATCCGCTACCCGGGATAATAGCGCAGGATATACCAGTGGAGCCCTGCTTTGGGCGGAGATGACAGCACTATTACCAGAGGTCCCCTTCTGTACGGAAGGCCTATGCTGTAAAGAGTCATTTGCTTCAGAGGGAGGCACAATGGTAGATGCCATAGACATCGTTCGGGAGGGGGTACTATCAGGGTTGGTGGTCCTGTCACGAGCACTTGGGTTGGTTAGCGTTGGGGTGCGTGAAGGAGTATCTCGAGTGGATTCATCATCCGCGGGGAGCTCTGCACCAGACTCTCTTCTCCGATTAGGTATAATTCTTCCACTCATTGTCTGATTATGATCTCTTTCCATCGAGAAAGAGTTCATCGACATGGCCCTCTCGTCATGCCGTTCTGGAACGATTCGCCCTTGCGCTGTCGTTCTAGACCCTAGAGACTGATATGACGGCTGACGGAAAGAGTTCGCGGATGCCTGGTTGTAATTACTCGGAGGCGGATTGTAGGTCGCGGGGGCTGTCATCGACGCCATGGACTGCGTTCGGTACGGATCGGCATTGAGAGCCGGATTGGAAGGATAGCCTCGATTCGGGATAGGCTTGTAGGAGTCTACAAGGCTTGGAGGATACCCACGATTGGGTGGTTGTCTATTGTATTGCGATTGCGCGGGCTGGCGAGCGTCAATGCGCTGAGGTTGAGGGTAAGGACGTTGGTTTGGGTTCAACGGTTGAGGCAGATATTGAGGCAGGGGTTGCGGCTGTACAAGACCACTACTTTGTCTCTGGTTTGGATAGTATCCATTCGTGTTGGAGAGAGGATAGCCGTTCGATTGTTGGCGATCCCCTGGAGAAGGCCTTCGCGCCGCTGCGGACGATATTTGAGACGCCACGGAATATTGAGAAGTCATAGTTTGCGATCTTTCAGCAGGCAGCTGAGGGATTTGGCTGCTCATCGTCTGAGACCTTCCTGGCGGCGGAGAAGCTCCAAAAATATTCGAGAACGCCGCATCTCGTTGATAGGAGGACGCATGTCCGTAGTTGTTCGGACGGACATTCCGGTCCTGCTGAACCCCATAATCTGCCATGCCTGCTAACGTAATCTTGAATCTACTACAGAATGGATCAAGAAATATGCCGAACGGCAGCAGGCAATGCCTTCCTAGCAGTAGAGGGAATGGCGAATTGCCTGTCGTTAGACTGACGGCGAAGGTTCCGGAAACATCAACATTGGTCCCAAAGCTGATTCGGCTAAATTGTAGACATAATTGTTTATTTCGTGCTTCTGACTTCTGCTGTTGGTTCTTCGCGGGGTCAAGTCAGAGGTGTTGTTTCCTTCGTGTTCGCGAAGTGGGTATTTAGACGACGGCCGGATCGAATGCTGGGGAGTGAGCCAGACCCAAGGGATGTGCGATCGTTGCGAATACGGTGATTAGCATCTGGAGAGTGCAATCATATTACCTGTCAAAGTGGCCTTGAACGAAAAATTGGGACTGATGTTTCGGAAATGGCTGTAGCGGGCGAGCAAGAAATCTCGGGGATGGACAAGTACGAACCCTGCATCTACTGCCCAACACTCCACACTCCACACTCCACGAAACACTCTCTGCTGCAGCACACTTCACTTCAGAACCATACTGGTCTGAATTTTATGCTGAAGCCTCTTCACCTCCGACAGTCCTCCCACTACAGTTCTCCCTGAGGTTTCTTAGGAACTCTCTGCAATACGTCAGCGATTGGCGAAGCCTGACCGAAAACCTGGATATATAGAAGCAAATCGAGGCAGACATGGCGGAAGCAGAGTTGTCTCCCAAGTTTGCGCCCTTCTTCGGCATGGTATGACAGTCAGATCTTTGCTACCTGGATCGATGCTAATGGGTTTGCGCAGGGGGGTATTGCATTTGCTGTAAGCTCCATGTCACCTCACCCCAACTACCTTACTCCAGCGCTGCAGGCTAATGTTTCGCAGATGATCTTCGGATGTATGCTCTTAGGAAATGCACCGCGATCCTGATACTACTAGATGGCTTACGAAATGTGTATGCAGGTGCGGGGGCAGCATATGGCACTGCCAAATCCGGCATTGGAATCGCAGGCGTGGGGACATTCAGGCCCGATTTGATAATGAAGGTCTGAAGGACAATTTGATACTTTCGGAATCGCCAGGCTGACCCCAAGGATCTACAGTCTCTGATTCCAGTGGTCATGGCTGGAATCATCGCCGTATACTCCCTGGTGATAGCAGTCTTGATAGCCGGAGATCTGGAGCCACCCCCAGGGCAGAATTATAGTCTTTTTAAGTACGTGCGATGCAAGAGTCGGTACCACTCATGTTGTTGCCGTACTTACCTAAATCCTAGTGGCTTCATGCACCTTGCGGCAGGCCTATCAGTCGGTTTCACAGGTTTAGCAGCAGGCTACGCAATTGGTGTCGTAGGCGATGTTGTAAGTCAACGTTTTTCTGCAACTGTGTGCACTTCTCGAAGCTTACGAGGTATAGGGAGTTCGGTCATATATGTTACAATCAAGGATATTCGTGGGCATGGTGCTGATATTGATTTTTGGAGAGGTACTGGGTCTTTACGGGTAAGGTTTACGTGTTGGTGCAGCAGAGAGAGAGATTTAGCTAAGTGAAAGCAGACTCATTGTTGCTCTCATCCTGAATACAAGTACAGATTGAAGGTGTTTTGATGGGATTTGGCAGGACAGCATCGCAAGTCTGGTCTGGCATCGATGTAGACGCCGGCTTTGAGCTCGCGTCAGACACTACACCAAATGAGCTGTGACCGTCAGGCACACTCCTAGAATACTAGATGATATAGTTGGTCCTGAACAATGATCTGATATTGCACCTCACATATCGTTGATATTTAGAACCATTATGAAGTGCAGCTGTTTGGCGATTGTGTTGCTATACTCCGTGGCTTTGAAATCTAAGAATATAACAAAAATTCGCTTTGTGTTATAGCTTGTGTGGTACGTTGTTGGTCCATTTGGTGTGAATGAAAGAAAATAGGTGAATAGGTAACCGGCTTCCGATCACCCGGAATTAATTCCTTTCGAGTGCCAAGCTCCCCAAAATAAACAGTGACTTGTAAGTTGTATGAAAGTCCCGAGAGTTCAACGGAAGGCTCCACGGCTCTAAGGAGTATTTTGACTTATCCCACTTTGTGAAATCTCACTCTCACTCACATAACCCGACAGATTTCACAACCCGACAAATATTATCGCTCATCCACCACGAGCAATCTGCAAACTCTCTTCAAATGGACAAAGATCTTTCTGCAAATCACCCTGCAGAAGACCCTGAATAATCGATAGCAGCTTACCTTAGGTATTAAGGAATACGGTGTTAAACTCAGATATCCTTGCATTAATTCCGTCATAAACTAGGTAAGCAGAGCGGAAAAAGCAGTCTAGATGGCACCAGGGCTTGGCCTGAGTCCCGCCGGCTCATCATCAGCCATCCAACTTCACTCCCCCCTCCACGACACACTCTCTGAACGATGTCGCTCGACGGCAGTCCTGCCACCGGAGGCCATTGCCAACCTCGAAAATTCGCCAAGCATCATTCCAAGACGACTTAGCCTGCTGCGCATCAAGATGGCAACCGCGAAATTCAAATCCCACTTCCACGCTCCTCACGGCCATAAATTGTTCCGTACCAACAGCAGCAACTTGGCCAATGATAAGCCAATTGACGAGGAACAGAAGCAGAAAGAGAAGAACTTTATAGCATGCTTCGAGTGCAATGGGCCTCCTCTTTCGCCAAGTCAGATTGCGGAAAACCCTCGCAGCAAAGAGGTCGGGGTTGCGTCCAAACAATTACGAGTGGGAGACTTTGAATTGATCAAGACTATTGGGACTGGTAAGGTTGCTCCGGACATTCGGAAGTCTAAGCTGATTCATTTGTCCAGGTACCTTTGCGCGTGTATGGCTGTCTCGTTTAGCCGGGTCTCCAAAGGAGGGACAAAAAGTTTTCGCTCTGAAGATACTCCGCAAGGTCGATAGTAAGTAATATGCAAAAATGTTTTCTTTTTAAAGAGAGGAGGACTCAGGTTCTACAGTCATTCGTTTGAAGCAAGTAGAACATATCAAAAATGAACGAAACACGCTCTCTGCTGTAGCCGGCCATCCCTTCATTACAACCATGATTACCAGCTTCTCGGACCGGGATTGTCTGTATATGCTAGTCCGCAACCCATGTCCAAAGCTCTGACAATCCCGCTGACCGTTCAAAGCTCGACTATTGCCCTGGAGGCGAGGTCTTCACATACTTGCGAAGAGCACGTCGCTTTGACGAAGACACTTCACGTTTCTACGGTGCAGAAATTGTACTAATACTGGAGTTCCTCCATGATATGAAGGGCATTGCGTATCGCGATTTGAAACCAGAAAACATCCTTCTTGACTCCGAGGGCCACTTGAAACTCGTGGATTTTGGGTTTGCAAAGGAAATCTCGAATCGTGCGCTGATCATGGGACCTTGGCTCGTAAATTTAGCTGACTATATGTGTAGGAGAGACCTACACTCTTTGTGGAACGCCAGAGTACCTCGCTCCAGAAGTTATTCGAAATTCAGGTAAAGCCGCGTTCATCAAACCCTTCTTTTCAGGTCTCCTCAACATGATCCTGGTTCTTCAGAACTTCATTGATCTGATGTACACTAGGGCACGGTACTGCCGTCGATTGGTGGGCGTTTGGTATCCTCATTTACGAGTTCCTCGTTGGACAGCCGCCATTCTGGAATCAAAACCCAATGAAGATCTATGAGCTGTGAGTCCGTCTCGGCCTATGTACGCCCATTCCATGCTAATCCTGCCGATCAGGATCATAGAAGGAAAGGTCAAATATCCTCAGTGGATGTCATCCAATGCCCGCGACCTCATTGGCAGTCTCTGTACCGTCAATCCATCTCAGCGGCTTGGCAATATTTCCAGCGGTGGTGTCAACGGCACCGCTCTTGTGAAGTCTCACCCGTTCTTCGAGACCATTGACTGGGACGCCTTGTATCATCGAAGGATCAAAAGCCCTATCATCCCAAAAGTCAAACATGCAGCTGACGCTAGTAACTTCGACAATTACGACCCCCCTTCGGAGAGCCAGAGCGGATACTCCAAGGATATGGCGCAGAAGTACGATCACGAGTTCAAAGACTTTTGAGTAAGTGTTCGGCGTCACGGGGAGATGCCTATGAACATACAGGAGATAGGGTTTGCTAGAGCGTTCGAAAGGCATCGTGCGTGACTCCCAGTGTCTTCTTTTAGATCGTATGAGATCGTAGTTGAGAGCGCCTTCCCGGCTTTCGGAAATGTGCATGCATGTAATTACCTTGCGGACGAAGATGGAAGCACTGAGATGCTTTCTAGCTGTACATCCTCCAAAAAGTAGTGCAGGACCGAAAGGATACTCAATGAAGCGGACATTTGCGGCAGAAGCCTTCACGTGACGCTGCGTTATGTCTGTTATTCGCTGTAATTCGCTAAATATGATTACGTAATCAGATTCTGAATGAAACGCGGTGACGGCGACTTCACGCTTTCGAGAACTCAAGTTCAGCAAGTGACAAGCTAACAGATGACAAACCTCAGGTCAAATCTTAGATGTGCGCGCCCTTCCCTTGATCATGCCAGACTTTGAAAAGCTTACTGTCGTTAAACTTCGGGATGAGCTCGTAGCTCGTGGACTTCCAAAGACAGGTCTGAAGGCAGCGCTTGTTCAGAGACTGATTGAAGCCCATGGACAACCCGAGAAAACGGAGTCAGCTGCAAACGAACCCTCTAAGAATATTCAGGAAGACGAATTCGTGACAAAAGCGGTTCCATTGGAAGCCCAGGCGCAAGATGCAGTAGATAACGCGCCGCAACCTGAGGAGCAAGACAAAGACGAACTGAAAGTTGCAGATGTGGCAGAGGAAGATGCGCCTCGTTACGAGTCAGATGAATTGGTGCGGGCACAATCTCAAACAGGAGAGGTGCAAGGAGACGAGCGACTTGAGGGACAGGCATCAGACATTCTCAAAGAGCCGTCTGGATATGTGTTGACCCTCAAAAGCACCCAGAGTGAAAGTTTATCGGAGAAAACAGACGAAAATGCAAAAGAGTCAGAGCTTCAATTACCTGTCCATGTCCAAACACGGATTGGAGATGTGCAGGCCGCCGAGGCTAAAACGGGAATGTCAACTCAAACGTCGCTCACAGGCGATGAAATCTTGGAAGATTCACGCAAGAGAAAGCGGCGGAGTCAGAGTCCACCCCCATCCTCTATGGAAATCACACAGAAAAGATTGAAGGCAGACAATGGGAGGCCCCTAGTAGAACTTCCAGAAGATTCTATAGCAGAACGTACAAATCCAGAAGAAAGGCCGAATGATGGTTCGTCACGACCGGATCCAACTTACGCCCAAGACAGCGATGCTCAGATGAGTGGCTATACATGCAGCAATGGGGAAAGTAAATTCGCCATAAACAGGACATCGGCTACAGTTGGACAGACCGATGCCGCAAGAATTTCGCAATCACAAATTGACCCTTGCGCACTTGAAGAGATGGGCCCACCAAAGGAGAGAAACGCTACGGCCACACCGGTCAAGAGAGCCGAGTCACCTATGAAACCATCATCAGACACCCGATTCAAAAATCTTTTCACGGCTCCTGCCAATCTGGAGCCCCCATCCCAACAGTCTCATTACCCAGATGCTGAAGACAAAACAGTTAGCCCTGCTCTCCATCCAGCTACATCTGCTCTATACATTCGCGAACTCATGCGTCCATTGAAGATTGAAAGTCTTAGAGACCATCTCATAACCATTGCAACGCCGCCAGATACTGCTGTCAATCCCAGTATAGTAACGGATTTTTTCCTTGATTCCGTGCGCACTCACTGCCTTGTGGGCTTTGCAAATATCTCTGCAGCATCCAGGGTTCGTTCTGGATTGCATGATCGGGTTTGGCCCAACGAGCGAGACAGGCGGCAGCTGTGGGTGGACTTCGTGCCTGAGGAAAAGCTCAAAACGTGGATCGATGTCGAGCAAACGGCGGTTAGTGGTCGCGGGCAACCATCGAAGCGTTGGGAGGTAGTGTACGAGGATGAAGAAGATGGTATCAAAGCCTACTTGCAAGAAGTAGGCTCGAACAGTGGAGGTCTTCGAACCGCACAAACTCCCAGAATGGATGCCGGCCAAGGCGTGCAGGCTGCACCACCATCCGGACCTCGAATCAGCGGATCGGAGCCGCGAAGCTTACGAACAAGGCCAGACAGTGGTAACGGGTTTCGAGCGCTTGATGACCTTTTCCCGTCGACTGCGGCGAAGCCAAAGCTTTACTACTTGCCTGTTCCAAAGGCCGAAGCGGGTCGACGATTGGCCAAGCTAGCGGCAGGTCGAGGCGGAGGTCGGGGTAATGAGATGAAAAGATTCTCGTTTGAGGAAGGCTCCATTGTAGACAATGGCCCAGAATTTGGGAGGAGTGGGTATGGAAGGGGAGGGGGCTACTCAGGAAGCTATCGGGGAAGAGGCAGAGGTTACAGGGGAGATGCTTTGCGAGGAGACAGCTGGAGGGACAGGCGTTCAGAATATTGAATGGCAGTCATGTATTATACCATCATATCGAATTGCATGGTTGGACAGGCGATACTCTATTACCAGAAATGGGTGTCGTTATACTACGCAATAGCATGGCGCCACACACTCGGTAGTGATAGAAATGATAACACAGCGTCATGCTTAATGTTGTATGCCATTGACGCATCGTGTCGTAGCCTCGCGTGATTCTGCAACTAGGGAATACGGAATAGGGATATAATTTAGCTAGAAGACGGGCTCGTTGCGTAGCCGCGCAGCAGCGTAAAACTAAACGCAGCAGGGGTAATCTTAGGGCACCATGTTGGCTGGCACTTAGCAAGCTTGCATGAGACCTCACTCCATCCTGCCTTCGGTGCGCTTGCACACTGCTTCCTACAACGTTGTTTTCACACTCCAACGAATGCATAGAATCGCCGCCATTTCATCAGGCTGTAACCCTGCAACCCTTTGGACCAAATACGAAACAAAGGAACAACCCCTGTACCCATAGCAATAATTGAGCGCACGAATTCTTCCCTGCCCGTTTCGCAACTCTTCATTTCCTGTCTTCAGAGACTCACACGGCTGCTTGACATCCCTCCAATATTCGGAATTGAAGCGCATTCTTGAGATAGAATTCCCTGCATTGACAAGCCAACACCGGCTCCGACAACAACAGAAATAGCACGCTTTGGGTCGTATACCTGAGGCAGAGGCTATCACGTTTTCCTAAAAAGCGGTGGAGGCTTTGAGCACGAGATGGTGTGGACACAATGTAATTCCACGCTGGAATACGAGAAGAGTAGGTCTGCCGGGACTTTGTATCGTACAATGAAGTTCTGACTGTATGCCTTAGTCCACGAGACCCAGCTATGGCATGGTCTGCAATTTCACCATTTCGGCCTAATACTCTCTGCGTTGTTTGGCCTCGTCTCGGTCCTTATGTCTTTTTACCTCATATGGCGACATTGTACCCATTATCTGAAGCCATGGGAACAACGGCAGTGAGTCGACCCCCCCTTTCTTCCCTGCGCCCTGAAATTAATAGCCATCAGTATCATAAGAGTTCTCTTCATGGTTCCCATCTACTCCGTCGTCTCCTTCCTATCATACTATTTCTACACGCGCGCAGTCTACTTTGAAGTGATCAGGGATTGCTATGAAGCTTTCGCTATCGCAAGTTTTTTTTCTCTGCTTTGCGCTTACATTGCACCGGATTTGCATAACCAGAAAGATTATTTCAGGAAAATACAACCTAGAGGCTGGGTCTTGCCAATAAGTTATTTCAAGAGATGCTGTGGGGGTGACTCCGGGATTTGGAGGACACCAAGAAGTGGATTGACTTGGTTCAATGTGAGCGGTAGCGCAACCTGTCTGGGCACTATCCGAGTGCTGACCTAGTTACCAGATCATTTGGTTTGGCGTCTTTCAATACTGCTTCGTGAGAGTCTTCATGACCTTAGTAGCAGTCATCACACAGGCTATTGGTAGGTATTGTTTGGAATCTCTCAGTCCAGCTTTTGCTCACGTCTGGGTAAGCTCTACTTTCCCCGAAGCTTCAAGCCCACATGTTGATCGTTTTAGGTCATGGTAATAGAAGGAGGTTGCGTAACGGTTGCGATGTACTGTCTCATTCAGTTCTACATCCAGCTCAGACGCGACCTCGCAGCGCATAGCCCGTTCCTCAAAGTCGTCGCGATTAAGCTCGTCATCTTCCTCTCATTCTGGCAGACCGTAAGTCGATCTGATATCATTCTTTCTACTTACCTTGTATTAACATGGCCATACAGTTCGTCATATCCAGCATCACCTCCACTGGTGCCATTAAAGCTTCTAGTCGCATCCAAACACCCGATATCAAAATCGGCATTCCTTCTATGCTTCTCTGCATTGAAATGGCAATATTCAGCGTCTTTCACCTTTGGGCATTCCCATGGAAAGTCTACGATGTGCGGCGCTCTCAGATCGTGGCCTCAGAATCAGCCGCAGGTTTCTTTCCAGATCCGAAGACGGCTTACCATGGCGGACCTTTTGGCAGCAAAGCTCTCATGGACGCTTTCAACCCTTGGGACATCATCAAAGCCGTAGGCAGAGGTTTCAAATGGTTTTTTATTGGTCGGAAGACACGCACGGAAGATATCAGCTACAAGAATTCCGCTCAAGGAACAGGTCTCGAGCCTACGAGAAACCAGATCACGGCTTTCGAGACTGGCAACCATTCGTTTGATGGCTCTCATCCTTTTGTGCAGGTTGGCAAACCAGCTAGATATCAACCGCTTTCTGAAGAAGAGGATTCCGACCGCTTGCTTGCACACGCGCAATCGAACCCAGAAGTGCCTTACCCTCGCCCCATGGAACGCCTCCCTCATCTCAACGCTGGTGGTGACATAGGCACTATGGGAGTATATGACCCTCCTACTCCGCACGCCCCACCATACCCTACCACAAGGCATCAAGATCCAGGACAAGAATATGGCGTTGCTGATGAGAGGAGTCTCGGGGAAGAAGATACCGGTTATCATGGTGCAAGAGGCAGGGTGACACCTGTACCACCCCCGGACTCGCATCCTTTAGGCCCGCCGGGAGGGAGGGGTAATGAGAATGAGTGGAACATGTGGGGCGGGGCACGGGAAAACGAGCGGGATCTCGGCGGGGACCATGGGATTGGTGACAACAGGTTCTAGATGACAGCGTCCATCTCCAGAGATGACACTTTTGCAACGGTTTGATGGAGCGGGCGTTTGGCCGAGGGATATACCATTTTGCAGTGTAGATCCCCCAGATTTTCACCCAGCTATTGAAGCAACGAGCAGCGGGCAAGCTCAAGAAAGGAAAGTGGAAGTGAATGAATCAGACAGTGCGTGAACGGCCTTGGTCAGACAATGTTACCAGTCTGTCGAGCATGTTGCTTTCTTGAAGACAAGGTCGAGCTCGCCCTGTTTCCGCAATACAAAATGAAGCACCAGAGCTCTGTCATCTCTAAGTGGATTGGATGACATTGTCTCGTTATTCAGTGTTTTTTGTTGATGAAACGACTAGCGCCAAAAACAGACTTCCCTTGTGATGGATTGAAGTAGCCGCCCATAGGGAAGTGGCTAACTTGGAAAAGAGAGTTGTGTAGCACTTGGCACCCTTGATCATTTCTGATCATTTTTGGTCATTTCGTGATTGAAAATAGGATCAATGATTGTTTGATCTTTGCTACCTTGTCGCCCTGCAAATGTCCTCGCCCATTGTATTTCACAGTCACATCTCAAAACTCCGTGCCCAATGCAGCAGTAACATGCGCTATACCGTATGCTAGGATGCTAAGTTCGTAAAAGAGAATCCACAAGATTCAGCCCTTGAAACTTGTTGTCTCAAAATAAATCAAAACCCTCCCCCTCGTCGCCATGATTTCTGTTTTTCCGTATGAGAGATAGTGGGAAGACCAGGCCTCATTAAGTTGTCTGTGGTGTCGCATCAGGTGTGGAAGAGCAGCTCTGTTTTGACAAAACCGAGCGGGAGTCGACTGGGCAGAGGAATCATATAGTGATGCTGGGTACTTTCGAGCTTGCCGATCTATGAAGGGCTTCGATGGTAGCATGTTGAGGAAAATGCCGTCTTCACTAGCCCTCGCGCTCAGGATGTATTCTTTCTGATTCAGGCTTCCATGTGCCTAGTAGAGGCTCGTTAGCTTATACTTCTCTCAGATCCCACGGTGGTGATAACAAACCTTCAAAATCATGCTTCACAAAGGCCATCGGGTCATCCGGCTCCTTTGCACCCATCTGCTGCACACCAGGACTGAAGCTCGTAATTGGTAAAACGACGACGTCCCCCACCTTCTTCGCAGTCTCCATACCCGTGAAGGCCTCCCATGTGATGTTCTTCCCATCCATCTTGAAGTAATTAGGGTCATTCAAATAGCTGAATACCGCATCTGTCCACAAAGCCGGCCCAGTGAATTCAACAATACTCTTGTCAAACTTGTTAATTTTGAGCACACCTTTCTTCCTCATTCGAAGCGCGTCCTCGGTGATGGTTGCAACGATGTCCCGGAGCACCGGATGGCCCGGCTTGGCCTGGATGGTCCATTGGCAGAATTGGATACGGCGGGAGTACCAATCTTTCCAGTCTGTGCGATTTGGATCGGCTTCGATACCAATGATCAGGCCAATCGAAGATCGGGGAACCTCTTCAGGAATCCAATCCGTCGTCGATCTAAGAGCCGTTGTGTCAATGTCGGTGTAGATGCCGCCACGCGCAAGGAGGATCAAGTAGCGGAAGAAATCGGCCTTCAAGACGGCCAATGGAAGTGATTCATATGCATCAAGCACTTCCGGCACGGAGGCGTAGAGATGTTTCAGGAGGTATACAGCTGCCTCATCCGTAACGACTTCGTGAACGAAACCGGGATGCAGTTCAGACCAACTTGCCTCTGCTGGCCGAAAGCTTTCCCCAAAGTCACCAGACGCAGGAGTATATTTCCATGTCTGCCAGATGTATGCTGGGAATTTACCTGCTCTATCATATGGGAACTGGTATTGGAGTTGTTCACGTAGTCCCTTGGTGACAACTTCGGTCAGTGGCTGTTGAGCGTCGTTCTTTTTACTCGAACCTTGTCGGGGAGGAGGATACGGTCTCGATTCAGGATCCGAATTCGCAGGTATGCCTGTCGTAGCTGGATATGTCAATCCATCGAAGTCGGCTTTGAAGTCCTCTGCAGTCTTCGCCGGGTCGGTGGAGGTCGCGGAGTGAGATGAGTGTAGTAGGTAGATAGCAGTGAGCACGAACACGGCTAGTAGTGCTGCTTTGCGGAAAGTGAGCATGTTCACTACTGAGGCCTGGGGCCTGCCTGAAGCGCCCGTCAAGTTGGAAAGGCCAGCGTGTGATTGTTTCAAAAAAGAAGAAAGGTAGGATCGAGATCCGAAGGGTGGAGGTGTTGGCGGACTCGGAAGCGAAAGTTGTCAGACGGCGAGCATAAGCTAATTTGAGCTACTTTCAATGCTCTGGTCCCTTTCCCCCTTGACGAGAAGACGGATGGGAACTTCGAAGCCGCTACTCTAGTCCTGACGCGCGGCGAGATTTGGGCTGCTACGGTGCGGATGGTGATGGAGGACGAGAATGAGAATGAGAATGAGAATAAGAATAAGAATGAGTGGAAAGAAAAGAGGGAGAGGTACCAGACCTCTTTGCGGGAGAGTGAATGTCGGAATGGCAATGGCAATTGTTTGTGGGCAGATTGGTGGATGGGCCAAGATATCTCTCTCAGTTGGGAAAGTTGGGAAGGCGGATACTGATACTAGCGCAAGCCTCAATACCTGATTGAATTGATGGATTGATGGATTGATGGATTGATGGATTGATTGTGCGAGAAGGGAGGAATTTATTAGGGACTCCACACCTGGATGGAAGGAGAGGGAATTTAAATATGATTTTCATCTTTCAGGATTCGGAGTCTCTACTACCATTATAATTGCATGGATGACACGGAAAGTGACAAGCCCTCGTCATCAGCAGCTGAGCAGGCCAATGTCATTTCTTCCTCCCTTCCGTCCCGGGGGGGCCACCAGGGCCGGGAGCTGCTCATTCTAGTTCCCTTGCTTGGCTTTTTTCCTTCCCTTTTTCTTCCCTTTACCTATATTTTCTCCATTTTCCCCCCCTTTGTTGCTGTTCTTCAATTCTTGTTCCCTTTCTTTGACTGTCTAAATTTGACGTAATTTATGCACCTAGTACTACGCCCTAGAATATTCTTCTTTTCATCTCCTCCTTCGGCATTCGTTCCTTTGATATCTCCTGCAAAAGAGGTTGCATGCTGCTCGACATAGTCATAACTCCCGAGGCCTGCATAAGCGAATTCAGGTTTGGCTGGCTGTGGGCTTGTCTCGGTCAACGGATATATGCATGATGATGACATTAACACTCCAATGTGCATGCATGGACTGTAAGCCAATTACTACGTGTTGCAATCACATCGGCATTAGTTGGTGATAACACTTTCCTTTCCAGCTTCGACTGCCCTGTCGTCCAGCGATATTTTTCACACCATCCCCGGGGCTTCCCTTCTTCACCATTCCATCCATTGGGCGAAAAGCGATTACGCATCGCTTCACTATGCAACCTACATTATATTTTGACGCTCCACCTTGTTCCTCACGTCTTTCGTTTCCTCTTATCCCCGCGCAATACAGCGCTCGAATCCTAGCCTAAAAAGCATTTGATATTACCTCCAATGTGTTCCAAATCGAGTAAGAACGTATCATGTCCAAACAAAGAAGTGTCCTCCCCTAGCTCAACGTGCGTAACAGATCGGTTACCGGCCGCTCGCAATGTTTCCGCAATTTCTCTTTGCTGCCAAGCGGGAAAAAGGATATCGCTGGCGACGCCCATGACCAAGGTTGGGTGACTGCGTAGCGGTGCAAGACCGGCCACAAGATCATCTGGGGGTCTCGTCGAGGTGAAAGCTACAGGTTCGGAGAAAGACTGGGAAGCCGTCTCAGCGGCTTGCTCTTCATAAGGCTTGTCTGGCAGCGCAAGACTGCAATAACGACCGTCTCCTTCGACCTTCTCTCCGGACGAATACCTTGAGTTGTTCTGCTGTCGGAGGCCAGACATCTGCAGTTGATGCTCGCGTCCAAGATCGAATAGGTCCATTGCCTTGGAGACGTAGAGAAGGCTGTTGGCATCGTACTCCAAACAAAACTTCTCTCCAGCGTGATCAAGATATGTCTCAATCAAAAAATCTGGGCAAAGCGCCGGCGGTCGGCTCGGGTCCGCTCTCCTTCGGCCGAAGCGCTGTTCCCATTCTGGTCCGCTTCGATATGTCACAGTAGCGATCTCACGAGCAAGCTTCATACCTGCGTGCGGCGGTATGCTATTGTAGTAAAACCCTCGTGACCAGTTCGGATCCATCATGAGTACTTGACGCTGCGTATGCCGCATTGCAATGCTGTAGGGGTGACTTCGTGCACAGCCGCTCACGCTGACCACCTTACCCACTCTTTGAGGAAAAATCACGCCAGCTGCTAGACTTTGCATACCTCCCATGCTCGATCCGACACTCGCATATAACTTCTTGATCCCAAATGCATCGAGCAGCCTGAATTGTGCTCGCACCATATCCTCCATTGTCAGAATTGGAAATCGCGTAGCGTAATTAAGGCCATCTGCCGGATCGAGCGAGCTGGGCCCTGTACTGCCATAGCAGCCCCCTATGATATTTGTGCAGATAATGAAATACTTGTTGGTGTCAAGAGGGGCTCCGGGGCCAATAAAGCTCTCCCACCACCCAGGCTTGGAATTTGCCTCTGTGCTGTGTGCATGACTGGATGCTGATAGTCCAGTATGTAGAAGTATGGCGTTGCTTTTATCCTCGTTTAGTTGTCCCCAATTCTCATAAGCTATATTAAATTCTGGCAGAACGCCCCCCCAGTCAAGAAGCAGTGCATCTTGAGAATGCCAACTGCGATGTATACCGGTGACATATGATGGTTCAGGACCGGAAGATAGGGAGCGCTTAGAAAGTGAAGCTGTCTTGGCCTCTTGAGCATCGAGACATGGGAATGAGAGGGCAGGGTTGGAGGAGTCAGGGGGCTGAAGCGGCGGATCGTCGACGGCATGTGCTGAAACTGGCTGAGCTTTGCGAGAGGATGTGGCGTGGAAATTTCGAGGACCCGGCGATCCTTGAGCTCGACGCGATGGTGACAGATGCAGTTGTCGGGCTTGAGGGTTTTTCCAATAACGAGGGTAGGGCTTACCGACGATTGTTGGTGCTTTCCGCGCAGCGGTAGCCACACCGTGTCGCGCAAACATATTGATGGGTATTCGAGAGAAAGGCTTCATCTATTTCATTAGACCCAGATGGCCATCTTAGAATAGAGGCAGCCATGCTTTTCAATGTGTTTACTAGATGAATTTCAACGCAGATGACGTGCGCACTAAAATAATTAATCGTATCTACCCCCATAATTAACTATATATATAAATTTAAGATTTTTTAAATTAGCTCTATCTTATTCTATTATACAAGTTTAGGCCTATAAGTTAAATTTATAAAAAGTAATTAATTTTTAAATCTAATTTCGAGATTAAATTCGACTCTCGAAGAGTGAAAATATTTTAATTTAAGATTTACTTAGAATTATAAGTTTAAATTTAATAATTCTTAGATTATTTAAAAGAGTAAATTATATTCTATAATTTAAGAAAAATTTAAAAGATTTTAATAGAAAAAAGAGAAGTTATATTAATAATAAGTTTATAAAGAATTAATTAACTTTAAATTATTTTAAATTTAATTAATAAGAAGTTGATTTTAATATCTATTATAGTTTATTATAAGATAATAAGATCTCTTTTAATAAAATAACGTAGTAGCTATATAATTACGAGATCTAGATACGTAGTTACGAGAATAGATAGATTAATTATTAAATAAACTAATAATTAAAAAAAAGAAGAAGAGAAAAGAGAACTCGCGAGTATTTAAGACTTCTATTAAGTATATTAAATACTTATCTTAGCTACGTAGCTTATAATCTAGTAAACGATATAAGCGAGATTTATTAATAAACTCTAAGTACTTTTACTCTTATATTTATACTTATTTTTTTATTTTATTTTTATTTTTATAATTTATAGAATTTTTATTGATTTTATAAATTTTACGATTTTATACTTTTTCGATTTTTTAATTTTTTAGCGAGAGAGATTTATAGATTCGAATCGAGAACGAAGTAAAATAGTTTTAAAATTTATTAAAATTATTATTACTTAACTATCTAAGCTTATATTAAAGAGTATTCTTAATAAAGTAAATAAGTTTTTAATAAACGATATTTGAATTCTTTATCTTTAAATATTTATAAGATTAAATTATATAATTTTTTTTTCATTTAAAAGTCTAAATTACGTTTTATAATTTAAAAAAAAAAGTTTTAATAGAAAATAAAAAAGTTATTCTAAAATTAAATAATATATATCTATTTTTAAATTAGAGCTATCGAGCGAACTTTAAAAAGTAATATTTAAATTCTTTATCTTTAAATATTTATAAGACGAAATTTAAGTATTATTTTTTTATTTAAAAGCTTATATTACGTTCTATAATTTAAAAAAAGAATTAAAATATTTTAATAGAAAATAAAAATATTATTCTAAAATTAAATAATATATATCTATTTTTTAATTAGAGCTATCGAGTAAACTTTAAAGAGCGATATTTAAATTCTTTATCTTTAAATATTTATAAGACGAAATTTAAATATTCTTTTTTTATTTAAAAGTTTAAATTATATTCTATAATCTAAAGAAAAATCTAAAGTTTTAATAGAAAATAAAAAAGTTATTTTAAAATTAAATAATATGCACCTTTATTTTTAATTAAGGCTATCGACTATCGAGCGAACTTTAATAAGCGATATTTGAATTTTATATCTTTAAAAAATTATAAAAATAAATTTTAATATCTTTTTATTATTAAAAAGCGTAAGTTACGAGCTATAATTTAAAAAAAAAATTAAAATTTTAATAGAAAATAGTAAAGTTATTAAAGAATTAAAAGTAGAATAAGAGATTTTAATAGTTATAAACGCTAATTAATTTAATTCGCGATATCTAATTAAAAAGTATAAATCTAATAAATTTATAATTAGCTATATAAATAAATTTAAGATTTTATAACTTAGCTTTATCTTATTCTTTTATATATATTAATATATTAATAAAAGAAATTAAAGAAGATAAATTTAAAGATTTTAAAGTTCTTTTTTAACTTTCTCTCTTAAATATACTCGTATATACTCGCTTTTAATTTAGAAATAAAAAATAAGATAAGTTTTAGCGTTAAAATTATAGAGTTTAAAGATCTAATTAATTAACTTTAACTCTATTATTATCGAATAATTTATAATTTTAATTTTAAGTAATAAGAAAGTAAGCTTTTTAATAATATTTTAGCTTTCTTTAAAGATAGAGTCGAAATTCTAAGACTATAAGTACCGCTAAGGAATACTCGTATATATCCGAAAGATCTCGATACCTGATAATGCTCGGTCTTAAATCCGACAAATCCGGGGGTGAGTTTTAAAGGATATCTTTCCGAAAACCCACCTCGGGCTTACCGCGGTATAGGGCTTATAGCATTCAAATAGATTTTATTACACTAATATATAACGTTATTAATATAACTATAATTTATAAGATTCTTAAAGCTCTAGACGCTTATTTTACGTTCTATTATTTAATTTTTCAATTTTTTTATATTACTATTATGAAAGGACGAATTACTGAAGTGGATTTTAAACCGTGCATTACCAGGTGTCGATCGGGCACTTCCGGGTATATACGAGTATTCGCCAGCTCTGATCCCGACTCACAACTAACATTATAATACTCACAGCACCTCTACAGCATGACTTCCAAGCTCATCCCTTCAGATCCCTCCAAGGTGATGGTGATTCGACAGGTCACCCCAAACATTACGACGTGCTCGGCGCCATTCCTTCGATTCGGTAGACTCAAGGTCGGTGGGCGAGGCACTATTGGTATAACCGTCGGTGCGCTTTCTATTACGGAGCTAAGATGTATATCTAGTACGACTCCAGTCCGGCGCCCTCGCAGTCTTCTCTCCCACCGCTCTCACACCCGAAGTCCGCTCTACAGTCGAATCCATGGGGAACAAAGTTGGATACATTGCTGCAGGGGATTACGAGCACCATATTTTCATCACCGAGTGGGCCAAAGCATATCCATCAGCCAAGCTCCTAGGTGTCGAAGGCCTGGCAGAGAAACGTGAAAAGGATCAAGCTACTGCCGGCAGCAAATTCCAGCATGTATGGACACAGAAGAATAAGGCAAACATGAAAGTCGACCCGGAATTCGACGAAGAATTCGACTACGAGTATGTGGGAAGTCATGCAAACAAGGAGCTAGTCCTTGTTCACAAGCGTGACAGGACGTTGATAGAGGCGGAGTACGTCTTCTCGCAGTCCACGTCTTCTCTTTTGGACCAGATCTTGGGTCTTGGAACAATCTTGAGAGGAGTTCCTCCCTTAAATATGCAGCACTGACTGCGGTTTGATCCAGTATGATGTTCAATCTCCCCGCGAAGGAACAATTCTCTAGGACCGGCGAAGATCCAACGTCCGGCACCTTGACAAGATTATTCATTGGTTTACAAAATACAATGGGACCTGCGAAATGGCAGAAGAGATTCCTTTGGTACGTTGCAAGTGCGGGAGATCGTCAAGGTTTCAATCAGAGTGCGAGGAAGATTGCTAGCTGGGACTTTGACAGGATAATTCCGTGCCACGGCGACGTGATCGAAAGCGGTGGAAAAAGCATCTTCAAGAAAGTTTTTGATTGGCATCTGAACGCTTCAGTCAAGTAGCAGGAAGGGCGTTGGTGAAGGGAAGATACCAGGAGTAACGGAATGGCAGAGATCACAAGCGCGCCTCCACATCACGAGCCTTCATATAGCTTCATTGTAGAAAAAACCACATACAGAATGTTTTCAATGACATAGAAAAACGCACCGCTTTGGAGTGCACGATACAGCTTGCAGATTCATCATTTAAATTAATGCCAGGCTCTCTATAAAGGATTCGGAATCAGCGTTTCTTCTCCGAAGCAATTTTTCGAAGGAGTTAAAAGGACCATTTTGCTCCCAAGACTTGTCTTGCAACTCGAGTAATAGTATGAATTAGAAGGAGTTAGCTTGGAACTGTACATACCAGATTAGCTCTCAAAGTTCCCATCGACAGCCATACTGTGTTCGTCTACTCTGCTCTTTCAAGCAGTGCAAATTCCAGCAGGCTACCATCAACTTTGGCTTTTGACACGTTTCTCATCACTGAGCCGGAACCCTTTCCATCGCCGACAATATCTCGCCTTCATGAAATAAAACTTGGAAAAGACAGCGGCTTCGCTCCTTCTGAGCACGTCTGAACTACCGCGACCTGAACACCCGTAAGCGTGGTTGGAAAAATACGATGAAGAGGATCACATACGGAGCGATATGCCTCTCCGATTGAAAACTACTGTGTGAGCCCATCATCAGCGAAGTCTTCGCTATACCTCAATGTTCACCCAGTCGGGCTCGCAGAGAAGCAGCACTTCGCCTCTGGGAAGCTAGTGTCGTCACGGCTGCTACACGTCTCTTCGTGCCTAGCGCCGTCAGAATTGCAAAACCAGCCGCCCTTATGAAAAGAACAGATACAGGAATGTCCGACAGGTGAACGTAAAGGATGAGGGTATTGTAACTTGTAAGAAGCACACGCGGTTCATGCTGCAAGTCTGAAGACGAGCACTCTAAGATCTCTGTTCACGTCTCTCACTCATGGGTCCTTTGGCAGATCTGGGATGAGCCAGTCCGCGCAGGGACGTCGTGGAGCTCTGGTGATGAGTTTCTGCATCGAGTATGAACTAAATGTCTTCCGTCAGTTGTTCTATGTCATGTTTGACCTCAATAGAAAGACGTATCTTACCTTGGGCTGGCTTCCAAAACACGAATAATCCTGGGATTTTCCGGAGGCATACCTTAGGTGCGAGGGGTGCGAAACGAACTCGGAAGATCTCCGCCTCTAGCGTCCTGCACGCAAAAACGGCCCGGAACTGGATGGCACTCACTAAAGTACTGGCTACGGTAACTATCTTACAACCTTACCTTACCCAACATGCTGGCGACTGTCTGGCAAGTCACCACCATGATGCTGATCGTCAAGTATGGAGGGGCAGGAAAAACTTAAGTCGCAGACAAAGTATCCGCGTATCGCCCGGAATTCAGAGCCCAAGCCTCAAGAAACCATGACTTCCTGGTTTGAACGTCAAGCTTCCTCTCACCATGCACAGCTTGCCGCCGCGGTCGTCCTCTCCGGCGTGACTGTCGCGGCACTCATCTATGGAACACAAGCAATTCGACGCAAGGAGGCTGTGCAAGAGTTGAAAGCATCGATTCCAGAGCTGGATGAAACTCACCATGCAGACATGGTACGTTTAGACTTCACGATTAGGACAAACGGGATCTACGCTCATCGGCTCAGTGAAGCTCACAGATTTTGGTGCTGCCTCGCCACCACCGAAGGCCAGCAGAGAGGACGAAAGAGTATCTGCTCTCGCTCGTCGTGCCCAGCAAGGTGATTATGACAAAGGTCTATCTATCTAAGCTCTACGAACCTATCGAGGGCGCATGCTGAACTCCTCAGATTTGATCACTGAGCAACTCACACGTACTACTTCTTTTCTTGGCTCCGATCGCTTTGCTCTGCTCCGCGACTCCTTTGTGATTGTCGTCGGCCTTGGCGGTGTTGGCTCACATTGCACCTCAGCTCTCGCCCGCTCCGGTGTCTCAAAGATCCGCCTCATTGACTTCGACCAAGTCACTCTCTCATCTCTCAACAGACATGCTGTTGCCACCCTTGCCGACGTTGGTACACCGAAAGTGGAATGCGTACCGAAACGATTACAGGCAATAGTACCATGGGTGCAGTGGGAGCCTTTTAATGAAGTCTGGAAACAAGAGCAGGCGGAGAGGTTATTTGGACCGTGGTGTACGGGCAAGGGTCGAAATCCAGATTACGTAGTCGATGCGATCGACAACATTGACAGCAAAGTCGCCTTGCTGGAGTATTGTCACAAGCATGGTGTCAGAGTCGTCAGCTCCATGGGCGCAGGATGTAAGAGCGATCCCACGAGAGTGTTCGTAGGAGACATCAGCGCGAGTGTGGAGGATCCATTATCAAGAGTTACAAGACGGAGACTACGAGCTGTAGGCATTAGCGAAGGGATTCCAGTGGTATACTCCACAGAGAAACCCGGCCCAGGGAAAGCGCAATTATTGCCGCTACCAGAAGAAGAGTTCCTGAAGGGCCAAACGAACGAGCTGAGCGTGTTACCGGACTTCCGAGCCAGGATTTTACCGGTCTTAGGCACGATGCCTGCAGTTTTTGGATACACCATGGCAAATTTTGCCGTTTTGGAACTTACTGGATACCCTCATGAAAGCGGAGCGGGCAAGGGAAGAGAGAAGATGTACGCCAACATTTTGGCAAATCTACAAGGTCTGGAGGAGCGGTTAGCAAGATACGAGGGAGCAGACTCTTTAGGCCTCAAGATCCCCGTGACAAAGGACGACGTGGGATACCTGGTCGAAGAGGTTTATCGAGGAAAGAGCGTGGTGAGTAATTTGCCGACGAGATTGGCGTTGGTGAGGTGGAAAGTGCCCGAGGGTGGATTCCAGATCGAGGAGAACCGAGAAGGGCGGAAAAGCGTAAGGCTAAGTCTGAACGAGTTGGTGTGCATGACTAAAGACGAGGCGGCGGCACATGAGAAGGACGTACTAAAGGGAGGCCGGGGACCAGATGAAATCTACAGCATCAACGTGTTGCAACTCGTGGAAAGACGGAAAAGGGAAGAGAGGCATTACGATCAGTATAGGTAAAAGCAATGTTGGTGTCTTGATTGAATATAGAAGAAAATTGCGTTCATGTTTTTTCAGAAGAAAATGGCTTATAATTCTAGTATATAGTTACGAGTAAAGGCCTATGAATTAAATTCATAATTATTTCTTTTAATTAGGGCTGTCGAGCGAACTTTAATAAGCGATATTTGAATTCTTTATCTCTAAATATTTATAAGACTAAATTAAATAATTCTTTTTTATTTAAAAGCTTATATTATCTTCTATAATTTAAAAAAAGAATTAAAAAATTCTAATAGAAAATAAAAATGTTATTCTAAAATTAAATAATATATCTCTATTTTTTAATTAGAGCTGTCGAGCGAACTTTAATAAGCGATATTTGAATTCTTTATTCTTAAATATCTATAAGATTAAATTTAATATTTTTTTTTTATCTAAAAGCCTAGATTTCGTTCTACAATTTAAAAAAAATTCTTAAAAATTTAATAGAAAATAAAAAAGTTATTTCTATATATTAATAATATACACTTATTATTTTTTAATTAGAGCTGTTCGACTGTCGAGCGAACTTTAGTAAGCGATATTTGAATTTCTTACGCTTTAATAAATATAAGACTAAATTTAGAAATTCTTTTTTTATCTAAAAGCCTAGATTTCGTTCTATAATTAAAAAAAAAAATCTTAAAAATTTAATAGAAAATAAAAAAGTTATTCTATATGTTAATAATATATATCTATTATTTTTTAATAATTACGAATATTAATTTATTTATTTATAATAACTTAGTCGATCTAGTTAAAAAGCGTAGAGAATTTAAATTTAGAATTAATTATATATATAAATTTAAGATTTTTAAACTTAACTCTTTCTTATTCTATTATATATATTAAGTAATATATTAATATATATAATAGTATTAAGAAATAATTCTTAATATTAATATATATAATAGAATAAGATAGAGTTAAGCTTGAAAATCTTAAATTTATATATATAGTTAATTATAAATTTAAAGTTATTACGTCTTTTAATTAAATCGACTAAATTATCGCGAGTAAATAAATTAGCGTTCGTAATTATTAGAAAAATAGATATATATTATTAATATATAGAATAACTTTTTTATTTTCTATTAAAATTTAAATTTTTTTTTTTATATTATAAAACGAAATATGAACTTTTAGATAAAAAAAGAATTTTTAAATATAGTCTTATATTTATTAAAGCGTAAGGAATTCAAATATCGCTTATTAAAGTTCGCTCGACAGCCGGATAGCTCGCTTATCAAAGTTCGCTTATTAAAGATTACTTATCTATTTACTCGATAGCCTTAATTAAAAAAAAATTATAAATTTAATTTATAGACCTTTACTCGTTATAATATTAATATAATATAAAGTTATTTTATTAATCTATATAATCTATAGATATATATATACGAAGAGAGACGCGCTAAGATTTAATTAGAAAGGTATATTAAGTATAAAGAATTAATTCGTAATAAGTATTTATAAAAAATAAGAATAACTATATTTTTATAATAAGAATCGAAATATCGAAAAGAATTAAAGATATTAAACTAATTAGTAATATATATTCTATAAGTTCTTCTATCGTAGTAAAGTTCTTCAAATAATATCGGAGTAAGATATTAGACGGTTTCAATTCGTTTAAATATATATCGTCCGATGTCTTGCTGCAGAGGCCTAATTGGCTATGATCGACGTAGTAGATCCTTCTCTTATATGCTCATTACAGTGATATATCATAATGTGATATTGCCTAGGCATGTGGAGATAGCAAGTCAAATTGTAGTGGTGTTCTCCGCTTACTGAGTGATGATTTGACGTGAGATCGTGGAGAGTAGGCCTGCGTTCTTGGTGCTGGTGGCCTTACCGCTGCTGGGTTTCTCCGCGGTGTTCTCCGCCGTGTTCTCCGCAGTGTTCTCCGCTTTTGCCTGTGGTAGTTCCTCCTCTTGCTCCTCCTCTTGTAGAGTATCAGACTGAGTGGCTAGCTGAGTGGCTGACTGAGTGAATAACTGAGTGACTGGCTAAATGGCTGGCTGAGTGACTGGCTGTGATTGAGGGTGTTCGATACTTGGAATAATTTAACTTGGTTGCTGGCGAAACTCATTACGTAGTTGATACATTTCATTTCTTATTATATCTATTTTAGTTCTTATTATATCTTAAAATAGAGTTATTAAACTTTAAAGCTAATCGTTTAAGAAGTTAGAGATAAATAAGCTAAAATCGAAAGTAGTAAACTCTACGTAATCTAAATTAGAAGATATAATAATAACTTATTAAAAGATTTATTACTTAATTACTTACGTATAGTAACTTTATATAACGAATTAAGTTATTAATAGATAAGCGATATAAATATTAAGATAGATAGAGACGTAACGTAATTAATTCGTATTATAGATAAGCGAATAAATTTAATAGACTTCTATTAAGTAATCTTTAGATATTACTATTATTTATTAAGAAATAGTTTTTAATATTATAATATTAATATAGTATAAAGTTATTCTATTAGTTTATATAATTTATAGATATATATATATAAAGAGAGACGCGTTAAGATCTAATTAGAAAGATATATCGAGTATAAAGAATTAATTCGTAATAAATAAAACGAGTTTAAATCTATAAATTAAATTTATAGTTTATTTTTTTAATTAAAGCTATCGAGTAAATTTAATAAGCGAACTTTAATAAGTAATATTTAAATTCTTTATCTTTAAATAATTATAAGATTAAATTTTATAATTCTTTTTTTATTTAAAAGCATATATTACGTTCTATAATTTAAAAAAAAAATTAAATTTTTTCAATAGAAAATAAAAATGTTATTCTAAAATTAAATAACGAGTAAAGGTTTATAAATTAAATTTATAATTATTTTTTTAATTAGAGCTATCGAGTAAATAGATAAGCGATCTTTAATAAGCGAACTTTAATAAGCGATATTAGACTATCTTACGCTTTAATAATTATAAGACTAAATTTAAAAATTCTTTTTTATCTAAAAGTCTATATTTTATTCTATAATTTTAAAAAAAAAATCTTAAAGTTTTAATAGAAAATAAAAAAGTTATTCTATATGTTAATAACGTATATCTATTTTTTTAATAATTACGAACGCTAATTTATTTATCTATAATAATTTAGTCGATCTAATTAAAGAGCGTAATAATCTTAAATTTATAATTAATTATATATATAAATTTAAGATTTTATAGCTTAGCTCTATCTTATTCTTTTATATATATTAATATATACTTATTTTTTAATTAGAGCTATCGATAAATTTAATAAGCGAACTTTAATAAGCGATATTTAAATTTCTTACGATTTAATAATTATAAGACTAAATTTAAAAATTCATTTTTTTTTCTAAAAGCGTAAGTTACGTTCTATAATTTAAAAAACAAATCTTAAAATCTTAATAGAAAATAAAAAAGTTATTCTATATATAAATAACGTATATCTATTTTTTTAATAAAGAGTCTTAAAAGAATTATTAAGCTAACTTAGATAGTCTAGCTAAAAAGCGTAATAATCTCGAATTTATAATTAACTATATATATAAATCTAAGATTTTTTAAATTAGCTCTATCTTATTCTTTTATATATATTAATATATATTTAAATAAGAAGACTTAAAAAAGCTAGCGAGCTAATTTAGATAGTTTATTTAAAAATATAATAATCTTAAGTTTATAATTAATTAAATATATAAATTTAAAGTTATTACGCTTTTTAATTAAATATTATTAATAAATAAATTAACGTTTATAACTTTTAAAATCTCTTTTTCTACTTTTAATTATCTAATAACTTTATTATTTTCTATTAGTTTTTTTTTAAATTATAGAATTACGTTATATAATAAGATAAATTAAAATAAAGTTTAAAGTATCTAATATTACTTCGTCTTTAGATAAGTTTTTAACGAAATAAGATTAAATTAAGATAAGTTTTTCTTAGCGAGACAATAGAAATATCTTATTAATAATATTATTTTTATTAAGTATATTAATTAAATTAATTTAAGATTATTATTCTTATAACGTCTTTATAATATCTCTTTAAATATAATTTTATATATCTTCTAGTTATCTTTTTAAATATCTACGAGTTTAAATCTATAAATTAAATTCATAATCTATTTTTTTAATTAAAACTATCGAGTAAATTTAATAAGCGAACTTTAATTATCGATATTTGTATTCTTTATCTTTAAATAATAATAAGACTAAATTCTTAATTTTTTAAACGATTAAAATATCTAAATTACGTTCTATAATTTAAAAAAAGAATCGAAAGATTTTAATAGAAAATAAAAAAGTTATTCTAAAATTAAATAATATATATCTATTTTTTTAATTAAGGCTATCGGCTATCGAGCGAACTTTAATAAGCGAACTTTAATAAGCGAACTTTAATAAACGATATTTGAGGTTCTTATCCTTTAATAATTATAAGATTAAATTTTAGAATTCTTACGTTATTAAAAAGCGCAATCTTCGCTTTATAATTTAAAAAAAAATTAAAATTTTAATAGAAAATAAAAAAGTTATTCTATTAATAAGTAATATATATATATTTTTTTTAATAAGAAGTCTTAAAAGAATTAGCGAGCTAACTTAGCTAGTCTAGCTAGAAGATATAATAATCTCGAATTTATAATTAACTATATATATAAATTTAAGATTTTTTAACTTAGCTCTATCTTATTCTATTATATATATTAATATCTTATACTTTAATTTAAATTATAATATCGTATTTTATACTCTATTTTAATCTTAATTCTTATATATAATATTAAAATCTAAGAGAGTTACTTAGAGATATTTAGAGTTTATTAAAATAATAAGATATATCTTAAAATCTCGCTTCGAGATTAAGACGAAATAGAGTTTTTAAAAAAACTTAAAATCTTATCTCGTTATTCTCGAATCTCGAAATTCTATCTCGACTTCGACTCTCTTCGAAATCTTATT